GCACTGCAGCCGGCCCTCCCCACTGCGCCCTCCATGGCCCTGACTGGGACCGACACATACCTTACCCACACCCTCCACCACTGTGCATCCACCGGCCTGAGTTCGAGGCCAGGGTGCCGGCAGGTCCCGCGCCTGCTGGGCAGCGGGCCCTTCCGAGGCTCAGAAACTCAGACAGGGTTTGCAGCCAGGGTTTCTTTAACATAATCCAGCAGCTTTGGAAACCCTGTGTCACTTGTAAATTGCAGTTTGCCGAAGTCTGTGGCCTGGTTTTGGCTAGCGTGGGTCACAGGGGGGTCTAGCCAGCTGTTGCTGCCAGTTAAGCAAACTCAGCTTGGTGACTCAGTGGAGCCAATGCCCAGGTATTTGAGGTAATGGGGGCTGGGGGGTGGGGAGGTAGCACAATAAATGACCTTCACTGGAAAATTCCAAATTGGCACCTATGTTTAGAGGCCAATTTAAGGATAACATCCAGGTGGCTCTGAAAGCACATGACCTGAAGTAAAGCTCTGGTTTTGTTATATTTGCTCTTGGAGGCCCGGTGGTGCAATAGTTAATATGCTCGGCTGCTAACTAAAAGGTTGGAGGTTCGAGTCTACCCAGAGGCACCTGGGAAGAAAAGCCTGGCAATCTACTTTGAAAAATCAGCCATTGAAAACCCTGTGGAACACAGTTCTACTCTGACATATATAGGGTCACCGAGAGTCGGAGTCGACTTGACGGCAACTTTTTTTTTTTTTTTTTTTTTGCTTTTGTGGTGTTCAGCATAGGATAATTATAATCAGGAAAGAAGAAGAAGTAGACTGACAAAAGAAGAGGGTAGAGTCGGTGGGGGAGAAAGAGAGGGACCCACTTTCCTGTCTGTAAAGAAGGAGGATGGGGGTAGCAGTGGTTCATCCAACAGATGAAAAGGACAGGATCCTCGCCTTCCACGGGGGAGACCCGGGTTTGATTCCCGGCCAGCGCACCTCACGTGCAGCCACCACCCGTCTGTCAGTGGAGTCTTGCGTGTTGCTGTGATGCTGCACAGGTGTCAGTGCAACGTCCAGACTAAGAGAGACTAGGAAGAAAGGCCTGGTGATCTACTTCGGAAAATCAGGCAATGAAAACCCCATGGATCACAACAGTCTGATCTGCCACCGATCGTGTGGATGTCACAGAACTGGGCACCGTTTGGGTCCACGGTGCATGGGGTCACCAGGAGTCAGGGGCCGGCTCCACCACAGTTAACAACAACACCCACCATCACTGGTGAATTTACGGTTCCCGGTGCTGAACTGGAAAATCCCACACGATACTTGGTTTCTGACTTTCTGAATGGTTTGAAGGTTTAAAATACCAAACCCTGAAGGAGGTTCTCTCTAAGGCAGGTCCTCTGAGGCAATATCATTCGCATAGCTGCTCATTCATTCATTCGTGTGTTCAGTGGTTGAGATCATGGAGTTTAAGGCCAAAACAAACTGGAATCCAATCCTAGTTTGATTCGATGTTTTGTGGCTTTGGACAACTCATTTTTCTTCTCAGCCCCAAATCCCTATCCATAAAATGGAGAGGATCATAGCATCGACCTCAGAGGGCTGTTGTGAGGCTCGACTCTGACAGACACGAGAGGGATTTAACACAGTGCTTGGAATGTGGTGTCAGCAAAGTTCCCTGTCACAACCAGCATTATTATTCTAACTGTGCTAATGGAATTTCAAATTCTATAAGAGCTATTTGCTTTGAGGTGTTACCACCAGTGGCCATGAAGTCAATTCCAACTCATGACGACCCCACGTGTATCAGAGTAAAACTGTGCTCCACAGGGTTTTCAGCCAGAACTTTCTTCCGCCTCTGGGTGGACTCTAACCTTTGACATTTCTTCTGGTGTGTTAACCATCTGCCCCGCTGAGGGACTCATCATCATTATTATTATTAGTCTCCTTTTCGGAGCCTCTTCTTCTCTGGCTAGAAAAATTCCATACTGGAAAGAGAATTTGTCTTACTAAGCTATATTCAAGGACGCTCAAGAAATGGATTACAGGGGGAAAGAAGAGATAAGTTGGCAATCTGAAGCTTAGTGAGACTCAGAGTTGTAAGACATTTTCTTAAAGTTTTTCTCTTTGACCTTGAGGACTGCAAACACATACAGATTTGCTAAACATAAAGGGAAGAAAAATTAAAATACAAGGCCAACTGGGAAAAGTTCATAGAGTATAGCCCAAAAAGCTAATGGGGAGCTCTAAAAATTAAGATGGAAAAAGACCCAACAGTAGAAAAGGGCGGAAATCAAGAACACATGAGAAAAAGGAAAGCAAATGGTCAAATGATGAAAAGGACGCTCAACCTCATTGATAATAAGAAAAATACAAATTAAAGTCACGCTGAGTTACCACTTCTCACCCACCAATTAGCAAGAATTCTAAATTTTACCGATAGAGACAGTGGAGCAACAGACCCTCTCATGTATGACAGAGGGGAGTGCAAAGTGGGCATTTTGAAGAGAACTTGGTAAATATAATACAGATTTGGATTAGGCAAATCCGCTGCAAAAGACCTCTTTAAAGTGTTAAAAAGCAAAAATGTCACTTTGAGGACTAAAGTGTATCGGACCCAAGTCATTGTGTTTTCAATCACCTCACATGCATGAGAAAGCTAGACGATGAATAAATCCATTGCCATCAAGTCCATTCCAACTCATAGGGACCCTGGAAGGACAGAGTAGAGCTGCCCCACAGGGCTTCCAAGGCTCCAAATCCTTACGGGAGCAGACTACCACATCTTTCTCCCACAGAGCAGCTGGTAGGATAGAACCACCGACCTTTTGCTTTAACCACTGTGCCAGCAGGGAATAAGGAAGGCCAAAGAAGAATTAATGCATTTGAATTATGATGTTGGCAAAGAATATTGAATACACCGTGGACTGCCAGAAGAATGAACAAATCTGTCTTGGAAGGAGTACAGCCAGAATGCTCCTTAGAAGCGAGATGGCAAAACTTCTTCTCACATACTTTGGGCATTTTATCAGGAGGGACCAGTCTCTGGAGAAGGACATCATGTTTGGTAAAGTAGAGGGTCATCAAAAAAGAGGAAGACCCTCAATGAGATGGACTGACACAGTGGCTGCCACCATGGGCTCAAGCACAGCAACAATTGTGAGGATGGTGCAGGACTGGGCAGCGTTTCATTGTACATAGGGTCTCTATGAGTCAGAACCGACTCAACAGCACCTAACAATAATGGAACCTTCCAATACATGGAAAGTAAGAATTCTACCACCCAGCCACCAGTGCCTCTCTATTACCTACCCAAGCAAGACAGAGAACTCTGAGAAACTCAGATCCCCAATCTGGTTTCCTACAACTCCAAATGAGAAGCCCAGTTCCTAACCACCTGTTTGAAGTCTGGATGGAGGTCAGGACAGTATAAAAATACACAACTTCAAGTTGCAAACGGACAGCATAGATTTTGTAATCTCTGTAGGTACATGCAAATCGTTCAAATAAAAAGGACACTGTTAAATTTAAATCTTGTTTAAATAGAAGCCTATTGCTAGAGTATAAACAATGTTTAAAATGATACAGTCAATCTCAGTCAACTGCCGCATGCCATTAATGATGCAAACTGTTCTCTCTCCAAACAGCTGCGACACAGGCCCCGCAGTGACCTCGGGGCCGTCTGCTCCTGTCTCTGTCCTGCTGTGATGTGTGTTCCTTCTCTCTACACCACTGTAGAAGCAGAAACACCAGGAGAGCAAGGTGAGAGTAAAGCACACGACAAGGACGTGTTCGTGAGTGGACGAAATTGTGGTTGCCCCCAGTAGGCCACAGACACAGGGATTAAAGTGTTTTTTGTTTTTTGTTTTTTTGCAATTATGAATCAGCTTTATGATCACATGAGCATTTTAAAGACTTGTTTCTGTAAAACACTCTAATACAAGACACGGTAGCTCCTCGGACAGTATCAGACATACCTGTGAGTCAAAGCTTGGTGAAAGAAATAAGAATGTTTCTATCTTTCTTTCTGGTTAAGTTAGTATTTTGAGTTTTAAAAAATAAGAACGATTGGATCAGCACTGATCCAGCTGGGGAACTGTACACAGCTGGTATTGTTTTGATTCGAATTCAAATCTGATTGCTTTATTTAGAGGGTTTCAGAAAGGTACTGATCACTTTTCGACTGTTGGCATAATCTAAGGTAGCTGAGATTTTTAAATTGCTTAATTTGAAAGAGTCATATTATGAAATATATTCCTATCTATGTACATAGAGAGCACACGCAAGCAAGAGGGAAAGGGAGAGAGAGACACCTTGGGTGGTGGCGCAAACGGTTAAGCACTCGACTACTAGCCAAAAGGTTGGTGGTGTGAACCCACAGAGGCATCTTGGAAGACAGGCGTGGCGATATACTTCTGAAAGGTAGTACAGCCTTGAAAACCCTATGGAGCAGGTCTACTCTGCACACATGAGGTTGCCATGAGTCAGAACTGATTTAAGGACAATGGATTTGTTTTTTTTAATATACATACATAAGGCTCTTATATGTATACGGTATGCATGTGAGTCTTTGTAAATCTTTAGATATATAAAACATACAGATACAACACATACATATAGTAGTAGAACACAAACTGTTTGTACCACCTAGGGACCCTGTGTGTGTGTGTGTGTGTGTGTGTGTGTGTGTGTGTGTGTGTGTGTGTTTATACTATTTCTGTAAGGATAATCAAGAAATGGTTAACATTGGTTGCTTCTGGGAAGGACAGCTAGAGAAACAGGGACAGAGCGCACATTTCTTTTTCATATTATACCTTCTGTGCCTGTTGAATTTTGTGCCATTTGCATGAATCACTCAAAAAATAACTTTTACAAGTGAAGACAAAATGAAGTTATCTGAAGCATAAACAAAACCAAAAAAGCTTCGCCTCTAAATGAAAGCCTGGTGAACTGCTATAAACAGCCACGTTTCTGGGATGCACGTCTGTCGTTAGGATGAAAATATGGAATCGTAAAGCAGTATCTTACGGCTGGAGATGCAGTAGGACAGTCTGCAGTTGATCTTCCTGAAGAGTTGCTTGTTGATGGGCCAGAGGATGAGAGTGCAGAGCTGAATGCTGTTTATTATTAGCCCCGAGGCAATAAATACGTAACAGAAGATGAGGTGGCAGAGAAACTGGGACTTCAGCAATCCAGCGAGGTCCATGGCGTGGGGCTGCTTCTGTTGAGAAATAAATAACTGCAGCGCGTATGTCCAGAGGGAGAAAATGTCCAGGACCCAGGACAGCGTCTAAAACACAAACCAATGCCAAATTTAGAAAAATATCATGTGCTTTTGTTTTCAGAAAAAAAAAAAGCTCTTGAAAGAAAAATATCCACTTGAGATGAAACACATCGAACATGAGTTGATTTATTTTTATTTATCTGACACTTACACAGTGTTTACTGAATGCCGGGCATACTTTAAACCCTCTGCAAACAATAATCCCTTTAATTTAACACACGATGACAGCTGTACTATTATCCTGTTTTACAGGTGAGAGACTGGAGGCCTGGGGGTTAATTAAGCACTTGCCCGATATCCTCCAAGGAGCCCTGGTGGCACAACGGTTAAGCGCTTGGCTGCTAACCAAAAGCTTGGTGGTTCCAACCCACCAGCTGCTCCATGGGAGAAAGACGTGGCTATCTGCTCCTGTAAGGGTTAAAAAAACCAAAAGGCCAAACCTGTTGCCATTAAGTTGATTCTGGCTCACGGCAACCTTAAAGGACAGAGCAGAAGTGCTCCCTAAGGTTTCCAAGGAGAGGCTGGTGGATTCGAACTGCCGACCTTTTGTTTAGCAGCCAAGAGCTTACCCGCTGTGCCACCAGGGCTCCAACATGGCCCAGAAAACCCTATGGGGCAGTTATACTCTGTCACATATGGTTGCTATGTGTCAATACTGACTCAACAACAACAATAGCCGATGTTCTCCAGCTTCCACAGAGAATTAGCTGGCTCCAAAGTCCACATGCTCCCACACTTTGCTCTGCGGCCTCTCGTGTCCAAAGGCCACGCTGGAGTGCGTGTTTTGAACACTCTCCCCGCCCAACCCTTCTTCCTCTGCCTCCACTCACAGTCCTCCTCCAGGTCTCAGCTTAAACTTCACTTCTTCTGCCAAGACGTCCCCAGACTCCAGCCTGCCCTGGGCTAGATTATCCCTGTGATGGGCTCTGCCTCCCCAAGTATCCTGTGCTGGTATTATGAAATGAACTGTGTCCCCTGAAGATAAGTTCTAACCCCCAGAACCTGTGAACATGACCTTGTTTGGAAATAGGGTCTTCAAAGATGTTATCAGTTAACATGAGGTCACACTGGAGTGGGGTGGGCCCTAATCCAATATGAGTGGTGTCCTAATAAAAGAGAAGACACACGGAGGGAAGACAGCCGTGTGAGGACAGTTATGCTGCAGGAACGCCTGGGGCTACCAGAAGCTTGGAGAGACACGGAAGAATCTTCCCCTAGAACCTCTGGAAAGAGCTAGGTCCTGCCGACACCTGATTTCAGACAGCTAGCCTCCAGAACTGTGATGAGACAATGGGTTCTGCGGTCGGAGCCCCCCCAGTCTGTGGTACTCTGTCACCACAGTCCCGGGAGACTCATTCCATACACTCTGCCGCTTAACATTTGGTTCCTCCACTGGAGGGTCAACCTCTCCAGGGCAGGGGCCACGGTATCCTGAAGGCACGCATTGTCTCCCCGGCACCTAGAAAGGTTGTTGACACATCGCTGGTACTAATGAGTACTTGTGGAATGATTTAATGAAGGTAGTAGTCGAGTTCTGAACTTTGAGGACATCAGTAAACACACATGATCAACACTAAAGGCAAAGAGAACCCTCCCCCCTTCACACGCACACTCTCACACTCAGATGCTCTCACATTCACATACACTCACACACTCACACACACACATTCACACACACTCTCATACACACACACTCACACACATTGTTACACTCACACACACTCATATACTCACACACACTCTGTTACACACACTCACACACACACACTTTCACACACACACACTCTCTCATATTAACACACATTTACAAGTTCTAAAATCAGAAAGAATCTCAAAACAAACATAGCAACCAGACCCACTGTCCAGTAATCAGTCTCCAAACCCAAAGCGGAATAATGAAATGATTTTACGGTTTGGCAGAGAAAGCCTTGGAGGAAATGGCAAAGGCAGGAGGTTCTGATATTCTGATGAGCAATACAGCTGAGGGAAGACTATTCACAGCAGACTCATTTCCCTGGAACATCACTGGAAACCACCCAGGAAGAACTCACACTTTAGGAGGAACTTCCTAACAGAAATAGTTGAGACATCCTAGACATTGTTACAGTCTTTATTAATAATACTCCCCCCCCACAAAAAAAAAAGAATGAGCTGTATAATTGTTTCATGTGTATTGTCTCCTTTTAAGCCTCCCATGAATTGCAGGAGATGAGTATTATTATTATCCTATTTTTCACATTAAGAAACTGAGGCAACTCATAGATTGGGGGACTCGCCTAAGGTGACTCAGCCTAACCCCTAGCTCCTTCTCCTGCCCCTGCCTGGGCTGTTCTGCCCCGGGGTGTGCGGTGAGGACTCTCTTGGGCTCAGAACTGCCCTGTGCAGCGCTTAAGGGCCAGCAGCACAGAAATCACTCTGAAGGCAACACACAGCACAGCCTTCCGTGAAGTCCACCATCTTCCTGCTCAGATGGGAAAGTGGCCCTTGCTCCTGGGTCCTCTCGGTGGCTGGCTTTGACAAGGACGATGAGACTTCACACACTTACCATGGACACGTCATCAGGGAAGACCAATCGTGAGAAAAGGACACCGTGTTTGGCAAAGTGGAGGGTTAGTGGAAACGAGGGAAACCTTCAATGAGACGGATTGACACAATAGCTACAACAATGGACTCCAACATACCAAGGACTGTGAAGATGGCGCAGGGCCGGGCGACGTTTCATTCTGTGGTAGGTAAGGTCACCAGAAGTCAGAGCTGACTTGACAGCAGCTAACACCACCAGCTCAGGCAAAAGGACAGTCTCAAGGTGCACCCTTCTAGAAGGTTTACATTTGCTCAGACTACCTTGAAGGTATATTGGATTCCTGTGTTATTCTGACACATTTCCAACAGGAGGGAAATGGATTTTAATCTTAGGCCTGATTTCTCTGGAATTGCCTTAGCTTAGCCATGGCGTCCCATCATCCTCTGTACCCCAACGGCTGGCTCTCTGGCACCAGACCCAGAACCTGCAGGGACTGAAAAATCTCATTCCTGAGGGAGAAGCAGGACCTTGACAGACTGCATTTCCCATGGACATTTCTAGGTTGTAAACCTCTTCCCTCAGTTTCAGCGTGGCCACCTCCTCTCTGGGGAACAGGCAGTGAGCTAGCAGTTCCTCTGATGATGCACTTGACTTTCAGAAACCACAGGAATAGGGCTGATCTACATGGGTTGACCATGTGGCTGTAGCCCTAACTGATGCTGAATATTCAGGCCGTTTAATCACTGTGCCTTGATGAGCCACGATCAGCTTCAAGAAGACAATCTGGCCAAAAGAAGTTTAATTTTTCAGGAAAGTTCTGGAGTCTAGTGTCTGTAAAGCATTTTGACAAATCCTTTGCTTTGCCGATGCAACACTAAGTGAAATAAAAAAGGAAATCGACTCCTGTCAGAAATGTAGGGGTTTAAACGCTGCTTCCCTCAGGTTCTAGTTCATTATTAGGGCATTTATTAGAGCATAATGAAGAAAAATTACGATTTTTTTTCCTCGTTAAACCCCGAGGACCCCCATGCCCTCCAGTAAAACCCTCGCTAGCACTGCATGAACCAGGAGTCAACATAATATTGGTGATGTTTAAGGGCGATCAGAGACAGACAAGCCTTAAGGGGAATCAGACAGACTAGGCTTGAGTGTTTTTGGGGTCTTAGATTTTTACAAAAAAAAAAAAAA